CGGGAGCGCTGCTGCGCTCCCAGCGCCGCACTCTCCTGAGTGCGCCACGGGCTCGGCCCTTATGCATTTTTTTTTTTTAAAAACTGTATGAGACTTGTCTGATACTCATTGCTTTCCACTCTATCTCCAGTTGGCTAAAAAAATTAAAATGCTGGAGACATTTAAAAAATACTTTTCTTACTATTATACTACACATTCCGAGCTAACTTCAAAAGACAATTTCATTTTCAGGCTACCAAAACAGGTTATTCTTTAAGATTTGGAAGGTTACAAAATGATAATTGTTTATCGTACTTAACCACCTTGAAATCCTTCCTCAAGAGTTAAAAAACAGCCATTAGCTAAAAACAGGTCTCACTCCTGGTTAGAAAAAATGAAAAATTTAAAATGCTCTAATGAATAATCATAATGTTATGTGGCCAAAATTACTTAAGAAGCATTTCCTATACTTGTTTCACTACACTAAACTCAGGTAACTTGAACTCAGTTTTTGGCAGCTTAATTCACTTCTCAAAAGCACTTGCTTCCACATTGTATATCGACAAAATAAAAATTTAAAGGGGGGGGAAAAAAAAGCACTTGCTAAACATTCCTGTTGCTTGCTTTAAAATTAACACTAAAGAGATGTCAAAGGTTCCTATATAAATTAATGCACTTTTACTTTTTTTTTTTGGTGGCTGGCCTGCACCAGGATCTGAATGCTTGACGTTGGTGTTATCAGCACCATGCTCTCCCAAGTGAACCACTAGTGAGCCTCCTTTCTCTTTTTCTATCTATCTATCTATCTATTTTGGGGGGCTGGCAGGTATGGGGATCTGAACCCATGACCTTGGTGTTATATGGCTGTGCTCTAATCAACTGAGCTAACCGACCAGCCCCTCAGTGCCTTCTTTAAAAGTGCAATTTCTATATCATAAGTCAAAATGCATTTGATACATCTAACCTACGTATAGATTACTCTAACCTACCTTAAACACATTTCTACTGAATGCATATCGCTTTTGCACCACCAAAACACCATAAAATCATAAGTCAAACTACCATAAGATGGTCCCCAACTGTACTTTCATCCCCAAGATCTAAAATATTGACAGTTGGTGTTAAGTTAGAGTGAGGTTTCATTTCAGGTAGTGTCAGTGAGTGGCTGTCAAGCCACTACAGACAGTAGGGCTACACTAAGACCATGTGCTATAAGACTCAGACACATGGCTTTAACAAGCAGATCCTGTACCAAGGCACATGCCATGCCATGCTTTTAGGAAGTCTAAGATGACAGGTATTTTCAAGGTCAGTGAAATTCTATAATTATCTCCCTCCTCATCAGGAACAAACGGTAGAGGGATAGAAATGTTTATGTCCCAAACTTCTGTAAATCTTAGTGATATGTATGTGCTGATATTCAACACTGTCCCTAAACAAAGTAAAAACTAAATTGTTGCTGACTTCGTCAAAAGAATATAGAAAAAAGCCTTGCTATATGCCTAGTATTGTACAGAGGCTCTGGACAATTCCATTTCCTGTCCCTCTGTGGTTCTGGAGACCCCAGTGTGGGGGAGGTCTTAACCACTTATTGTAGAAATGATACCAATAGCTAATAAAATGTACGTGGAAAATCCAAATAAGGAAATAAGTCGGCACTCCATATCAGCAGGTTCTGCATCCACAAATTCAACCAACCGTGAATAGAAAATATTTGGAATAAATAAATAAATAAATAATAACAATGCAATAAAATAATTTAAAAATTACAAAAAATAATATAATAACTATTTACATTTTTTAGGTATTATAAGTAATCTAGAGATAATTTAAAGTTTACAGGAAAATGTATATAGGTTTTTGCATATACTTTGCCACCTTACACAAAGGACTTGAGTATCTGCATATTTTGGTATCTGTGGGGTGTCCTGGAATAAATCCCATGCTGACATCAAGGGACAACTGTTTTGTCATTTCCTAAATTTTCATAAGAACCAATGGAAGGAGAACATTATTTAGACTAATCCAGATTGGCTTTCTACGAAATCTGTCTGGATTTTTTTCCTTTTCTCATAGCCTAAGAAATAAGTACTGATAAGGAATGACTTGAATGTAATTTTGTGAATACGTATGGAAACTACAAACCAGGGATTTAGCCTTAATAAAGGTAACCTTTCTGACATCTATTATTAATCCCCTGTATATCTCTTATCCTGTATCTCCTGCACTCTACTATTCTGAGATGTGCTATTTGCACACGTATTGTAAAAAGAAAAAAACAAAATTATATTTCAAAAAAAAGCAATTTCCATGCTCTATATAAAATACCAACAAATACTTAACACCGTTATGATGGTAACTTTGCATCAATATTGGAGGATTTATAAAAAGTAAAAAGGCTAGCCCCTTATGGAAACTGGGAAAACCCATGAAAGCTCAGTGATCACCTAAAAGAAACAAACCCTTTAATGACTACTGTAGTCAGTAATTGCTGCAACACAGTGTTACAAAACCAGTGTTCTAATTCACATACAAAAGATTTTTATTATTTCTGACATTTCCTCTTGTTTTTCTGCTCTATCACCCATGCCGAAAAGAACAAGAAAAAAAATTTGGTAGATGTCAAATAACCTAGAGAAATTATTGGTAGGCAATATTACATGTTTTCAGAGGATTCAATCACTGTTTCTCAAAAAATTGACTGCAGAGCCACTGCAATTAAATAAAGCAAAATACAGACATTAAAGAACTAATTGTCA